ATTGTATGACTGAAACCCCATCATAAACAACTTTGTAACTATGTATCTCATAATGATTCAATTTAAAAAAATTTTTTGTTGGCAACTTCCAGGCTAATCAACTTCAGCCAGGAGGAGAAGAAAGGCCCCAACTGTCTCCAAAAGTGGGTTTGGGACCAGGTTGGAGTTGAATCAGAGACAAGGAAAGGAAACACCACCCCTGGGTTTCATCCTCCCATTCCAAGGCTCTTTGGAATCTTTGTCCCACCTGGTAGAAAAAAGAAAACACAGCCAAGATCTGTCATAAAAGACCTTTAATGGTCTCCTAGTTAAGGTTCCTTTGTTCGTTTGTCCTGTTAGAGCTGAATAAAGTGGAATAACTTATCTGACATAATAAGGAACACCACAGGTACGACAGATACACCTGGCCCAGGAATGAGGGTGTCACACAATCACCATTGAACAGAATGATCCCAGCCCGGAGACCCATCCCTGCAGTCACTGTCCAGCCCGGGGCTGGACCCACTGGCCCTCAGAGGCCACGATTCCCACGTGCCGGCAACCCAAAACCCTGCACACTTGTCCCCATACTGTGCACCCCTGGACCCCACATCTGTGAGGTTCCCCCCCACCGCCTGTCCCCTCTCCCATCACCATCTCTGTGAGGGGCAGAGCCTGGCACTGGCCTCATAACACCGGGTTCCCCAGGGCACACACAGAGGAAGGCTGAGACAGCCAAGGGGTGCGCTGAGCCCAAACATCACATTTGCACTGAGGAGGGCCCGGCTGGGCACGAAGGACTCAGACGCAGGCCTCGTTAGTCAGGGGGGAACAGGCTGTCAGGGAGGGAATTCGGCGGCCAGCCTCTCCCAGGCAACCCCAGATGCCACTCTTCTGGTGCCCACAAATGCAGGGATGGGTCCCGCAGCGCCATCTCTGGCGAAGTTGGCAGCGTTGCTTCCATCACACCAAGCTCCTCTTCTCTCCCGTCACCCAGACCCCCTGGGCCAGGGGGCGAAGTGGGGTGCCCGGGTGCTGCACACAGGAGTCCTGGGTGTGCACTGGGCCTCACCCTGCTCCATGTCCTCCCACCCCCGACGCTGCCTGGGCCCACGTCACAGTCAAGACCCCCCTGCTGAGCACCAGGGGGCCCACACAGACCCAACACAGGCCAGAGCTTTGGGTGGGCAGACTGCGAAGCCATTGTGTGTGTGTGTGTGTGTGTGTGTGTGAGAGAGAGAGAGAGAGAGAGAGAGAGAGAGAGAGAGAGAGCAAATGAGTGTGTGCGTGAGTGTGTGTGTGAGTAAGCACGTGTGTGCAGGTATGTTTCAGGTATGCAGGTATGTAAGCAAATGCTTGTGCCTGGGTCTGAGACCCAGGTGCCAACACAAAGATCTGTGTACTGGAATGCTGGAGCCATTCCAATGTGAAAAGCAAGAATAGAGCCTGTCCTTGCTGGTCTAAATCCAAACCTCAGAATGGAAGTTTGGAGTTTTTCTTCAAAAGAAAGTGTGGAGGTGAGACCCCACTCGCAGCGAGATGGTGAGGGCAGAGCTGTTCCAGTGGGTAGGGGCGGGGGTCTGCTGTCATCCCCCCATTCCACCAGGCAGCCCCACGGGCTCTGTGAGTCACTAGGGCCTCCGCTGGGTGTCTGGGGACTCCGGGTCAGAGTGTCAACAGATCTTAGGGTCCTGGGGACCTGTGCTTTGACTTCCCTTTCGGGCTTTGGAGCTGGGAGGTGATGGGAGGATGGTCCCCGTGCAGGGGAGGGGGGAGGGACTTCCCCTGGCCGGCCACTAGGTCCTGGCAGAGGGGCAGGGAGCAGCTGTGGGCCAGGATGCCACGTCACAGGGGAGTGTTTTGGTCCTTGTTCACTTTAAAAATAAAATCACCAGAAGAGCAATGGGCTTGGGAGACCCCATAAAAGTTCAAGCCTGGGGTCTACCACCTTCCTGGGGTGGGCAGGTAGGGAGGCCGTGTCCAGTCAGCACGAAGACCATGGGGCCCGGGATGGGCTGGAGCCCTTGCCCAGGGCTTAGTGGGTCTCTGCCTCCCCCATGAGAGTCGCAGTGGACGTGGTTCCTGTGTTCCCAGTAGGACCTGGCGTGTGAAGGGGGAGGCCAGCTCGCTCTCTCCTGCCTCAGCCTGGGGGGCCTGTGATGGAGCCATGCTGGGCTCCGCCAGGACCGAGGGGGCTCAGAGCCATGGTTTCCGGCCTCTGTGGGGGCTGAGTTGGAAGCCACGTGTGCTCCTATCAGCCCGCAGGCTGGTGCCTCTGGCCCTGGGCTTGGCACTCCTGGAGGGCCTCAATTTCCCTTCCAGCCGGGCGGCCAGTGCCAACCTGAAGGCATCTCACTCTAGGCCCATCACCAAGGCAACAGGGGCGCAGGAGCTGGAGGGTGGGGGTGAGTGGGCACGAGTGACCGGAGCCCACCTGAGCACAGCAGGCATCCGGGGGTGAGCACGTCACTGGCTTCCTGTCACCCCAGCCTCGCTGATCCGGAGCCAGGCAGAAGAAGGATAACTGGCCCACTAGGGAAACTGAGGCCAAAAGTCAAGTGGCTTATGCAAGGCAAATTCTCAGTGGCTTGGTGGCAGCTGAAGCTTCCAGGCCACCATTGTTCCCTTAGCACGAGGGGGAAGGGGGCCGGCCTATCCGCAACAGCCGCACCCCAGCTGAGCCAGCACCTTGGGGTGGCCCACAGGCTCCCGTCTGCTTTCAGGCGGAGGAGGTCTGTGGGGTGGAGGCCAGGAACTCGTCCTGCTTTCGTGGGGCAGAGGAAGGCAGGCAGGCTCTGTCTTTGTGTCAGGACTGTGCCCTGTCCCAGCCAAGACAGTCATCACCACTGGCCAGTCGCACAGGGAGCCATGTGGTCTGCCAGACCCCAAATACTGTTGCACCCCGATGCCATCATCTGGGGCCCAGTGGAGCTTCCTACCCGTCGCCTCGCACCGAGGTCTCACCTGCCTCCACTTGTCCCTGAAGGCTCGGTCATTTGAGGGGTGGGGGGGGTGACCCCAGGGAGAAACTACCCAGAATCTTGGAAGGATGATCCAGGCCTTACTGGCCGTTGGAGGCAGCCCACGCTGACCAGTGGGGAACCTGACCCAGGGGTGCCCCCCCACCACCCTCAGCTGGGCTGACTCCCCCAAGGAACGCCCCTTCTGATCCCATGGAGGCAGTGGGCACCGGCATGGGGCACTGACTACAGACGCCCCCACCCTTCCCCCAGATCTCTCTGGCCCTCAGCTTCCCGCTCTGCCTCTCCCAGGCTTGGCCCGAAACAAAGACGTAGTGGCCGGGGGCAAGGAGGAAGCATGTGCAGTGGGTGCAGGGCTGGGTGCGGTGCCCCTGGGAGCTGGGAAGGTCCATCCAGCACCCGGTGAGCCCCAAAGGGTGCTTGGTGGGGGGGGGGGGGTGGAGGCAGAGAAGGCTCTGGAAATCCTCCCGGCAACTCCTGCCTAGGCACTGGGCAGGGGGGAGAGAGGCCTGATTGACACCCGTCCCCACATCCTGGAGGAGTTGGTGAGCGGGAGGCAGGCATGCAGGCTTCCAGCACGAGGAGACTGCTGGGACCGGGGACTGGTGACCCCCACGGCCAGGACCCCAGGGCTGGCTGGGGGACCTGACATGGTTTGGGGTCTTCGGGGCAGGGGGTTGCATGAGGTTCGGAAGGGCAAGACTGGGGAGCACCAGGCCCAGAACGTGGGGACTGTCACCAGGGAAAGGGCTGCGCGTTTCTCCCCCCCCCCCCCCGCCCCCTTGCACTCGGGGAGGGCAGCTGGCAAGGGGCCTTCCAACTTGGATGGTTTGGCGCTTTCCCTTGGCAGGCGAAACCATACGAGGCAGAGCTGGAGGGAAGCGGGAACCAAGCAGAGATGCCCTGGATGTGTTGCTTTCGCTTGGCATTAGATGGACCTGGGGGGTGGGGTGGCAATGGGGGTCTGGAAGGTCCTGGGGCCCTACCACAAGCCCCCTGCCCACTGAGTAAATGTAAGTTCTGTGCCCCAGCGTACTTGGTGGCAGCTGTCGTGAGATCAGCCCACCCCCAACCAACCCCCCGCCAGACCTAGATCAGGGACTCTCCAAGGCTCTGCCACCACTGTTGTTCAGCAGGCCCCTTTGGGGACAAGCAAGTCCAGAGGCCCAATGCACTAGACCTGAGCACTAACATTGCCCCATTCTGGAAAGCCAGATCTGGGAGGGCCTTTGTAAGCATCTCAACCCCTTTGGTTTTCAGAGTGAAGAACAGACGCCCAGACAGGGCAAGGAGCTGCTTAAGGTCACACAGGAAGTCAGCCACAAAGTCAGACAAGATCCGTGTAACACTTTCGACCTCATCATCTCCTGCCCTGCTGTCCAGGAAACGTCCCACGCCGCACCCACGCCAGCCAGTGTGGCAACCATAACACATCAGACACCCCCAGGAACCCCGCTCCCAGCCCCACCTCGGGGCACCCTTTTGCACCAGCAAGGCAACGTGCTGGACAGCCGCCAAGACCCCGCCTCCCCTTCCCAGCGCACATTTACAGCCGGGCTCACACCCAGGGCGGCACATCCTGACAGTCCTGAAATAGATGCCCTGCCATCCCCTGGCCTTGGCTGCTCCTGCCAGGAAGCAGGTCAGGCCCGCCGACTTTCTCCACACCTGACATCCGCGAACCGTCACCTCTATCACTGGCAGACGTGGAGGGACCCGGGCAGGGACGGGGTAGAGAGGAGAGGCAGGCAGTGGGTCCCCACGGAAAGACAGGAGAACCCCCAGCTCTGCCTCTCCCGGCCAGCGGGAGACCCATGGCCCACAGCTGCCCCAGCCGCCTGGGAGCCAGGACAGGTGGGTCCCCCCTCCTGGGGCCGAGCCCTCAGCCCCACCTTCTCCCCATCCCAAAGCGAGTCCAGGGGCTGGAGGCTGGGGCCTTTCTGGGGGAGGCAGGGGAAGAAGGACGGTGGAGAGCTGAGTGCAACGGGAGTGGAGGGCTGGGGGGGGGGGGGAGAGCTCTGCCCCGGGGACGTCGCCGATCCTGAGGCAAGAGGTTCACCATGGTGGGCCTGGAAGACCACTGGGTCCCCTGGTGGAGACCAGAAGAACAAAGGGGGCGGGGCCGGAACTGGAAGGGGAAGGAGACAGGAAGCTTCCGAGTGCGGGGGTGTGGGAGCCGTGGGGGCAGGTGCCCCCGGCCTATCTGTGGTTGAGCTGCGGGGAGCCGGTGCCATCGTCCTCCTCCTCCTTGTCGTCCTTCATGCCTTTCAGTCTCTGGCGGGCAAAGTCCTCAAACACTATGTCGTCGTCACTGGTGGGAGGGAGAGACGGTAAATGGGGCTTGTCTGCAGGGCAGAGCCAGGAGGAGGCCCCAAGCTGGCATCAGTATGTCCCCCGGCAAGGGTGGATGGGTCGTATCTGCACCCCGGCCAGCTGTGACTGGAGTCTGTGTGCTTCCCATGAAGGAAGGGCTAGAAAGGGAGCCTTGAGGAGCGATGGAGGGGGGGGTGGGGGGGAAGGGGAGGGCCAGAGCCGCTCTGGGCTGGGAGAGATCAAGGCAGGGCCCGTTTCTGAACCTCCCAGCTTTGAACCTCCCAGCTCTGACCCAAGGCCATGAGTGTGTGCACGCACGCACACTCATGCATGCGCACAGACACACATTCAAGCAGGCAAGCAGGCATGCACACGCACACAGACACACACACTCATGCAGCGTGGCCAAAGCACGACCCTTAGGATGCATTAGGATGCATTCCCATTCCCACAAGCTTGACTGGCTGGAAGACAAACCCGGTAAGGCCCTCCCTTCCTCCCTTCTCTCTCTCTCTCTCTCTCTCTCTCTCTTTCTCTCTCTCTCTCTCTCTCTCTCTCCTTCCCTCCCTCGCCCCCTCCCTTTCTGTCTATTCTTTAATAGCAAAGCAGGACCCCGCTGTCCTTCCTTTCTCCGTCCCCGCAGGGCAGGGCCAGCTCCCATTCCAGCTGAGGGAGCTGGGACAGGAAGCAGGGAGGGAGCATCAGTAGCCAGAGGGCAGGGCCAGGGATAGTAGGAGCCAGGGACCCCGGGAATGAAGAGTAGACACTAGATGAAGATGAAGACCACAGCCCTTGACCCCAGAACATGGTCACTGAGGCCCACGACTACCCCCACCCCCAGAATTCAGACAGTCACAGCAGGTGCCCTGGAGAACCAGATCCCCGAGTTTCCTGGGGCAGGGCAGACAAGGGAAAGGTGGGTTTGCAGCTGGACACTGGGGGTGCAGACCCAGTCCCCCACCCCACCCCACCTGCCCATGCCCCTCTGTCCAGCCATGCAGGAGTTCAGACTGCAGGGAACTCCACTTAGTCCTCAGGAGGTAGAAGTGACCAGACGCCCAGAACTCTGACCACCCGACAATCCAATTCCAGCGGTGGGCGAGGGTGGGCAGGGCAGCCCCGTGAGAACCGAGAAGGACAGACGGGCAGACGTGCAAGGACACGGGAGGCAGACAGACCCCACCAAGGCAGGTGGAGGAAGCACAGGCAGAGGGTCCTTCAGAGTCCCATGCAGGGGATCGGGAGGCCGGGGAGGCGAGCGGACAGGCTCCACACTTAACAAGCATCTATGCAGATGCACGACCCAGCCCGCCGCCGCCCTGCAGGCCGCTAGGCTTACTTCGTGTCCAGTTCTATGAGATTGGTGTCCACCGGCGTCTCGTTCTCTGGAACTAAACACAAGGAGGGCCGGGGCCCAGGGGTCAGTGGTGAGCAGGCAAGGGGGCAAGTGGGCACAGTCAAAGAACAGAGGGCAGAGGAAGAGCAAGGCGAGGGCTCCTCCCCACCTCATGGACACACCCCAAACAAAGTCTGTAAGAGGGTCCAGGGAAGGCCCAAGGAGTCCCCAACAGCCCCAGAACAGAACCAAAAATATCCCTGGAGCCATGTTTCTCTGAGTAATCCTCCAGGAGGGCAGAGACTCATTTCCCTAGTGCTAGACCCACTTGTCCAGCATGACTAGGTGGGTCTCATCGCTCTTGGACTGTCACTGTCACTGTCCTCCCGTTGTTCATCAATTTGCTCGAGCGGGCCCAGTAATGTGAGACTTATTGTTACTGTGTTTGGCATATTGAATATGTCACGGGTAGCTTGCCAGGCTTTGCCATGCGGGCGAAATACTCTCGGTAGCTTGCCGAGCTCTCCGAGAGGGGCGGAGGAATCGAACTTGGGTCAGCCACGTTGGCTGTGTGCAAGGCAAACGCCCTACCCGTCGTGCTATCGCTCCAGCCCATAGCACAATAGCAATAGCACAGTGGTAGGGCGTTTGCCTTGCGCACAGCTCTCAGACATGTTTTACAATAAATGACATTTCACAGGCTGGCTGCCGTAACCTTTGTCTCTCTCCATGGCGCAGCCTAACCCCAATGTCTACTGCGACCAAGAGCCTTGGATTTCTGAAATCACATCGATCTGCTCTTGTTTGGGGGGTAAACGATGGGGTCGCTGTGTCCGGGCCAGCCCCTCTCTGCAGCCACCTCCCCTGTGCCACACGCGACCCCTCACTTCTTAGCCTCATGGTCCAGGGGGAGCGTCAGAGGCAAACAGGAATGTGGGACCCACAGAACGTCCCAGGGGGCCGGGGAAGGGAATGGCCCTGGGCAGGAGAACCCAGAGGGGGGTGGGGCGAGGAGGAAACACGGCGGCTGGTGGAAAAGGGGGTGACCCCCAGGCCCTGCTTACCTTCCCGGTGTGGGGGCTCCTCTCTGGGCTTGGGGTGCATTAAGGTGAAGGGTAACTCGACAGCCACGTCGCTGAAACAGACCCAGACTCAGTGAGCTCCACGCCCTGCTCATCTGTGAGACTCGGGGTGCGGTGATGAGTGCCCATAGCAGGAGGTCGGCCCCCTGCACCCGTCCTGCCTCAGTCCCTCTAGGGTGCCACTAGTGGCCTCTTTCCCCTGTGCCCATCCTGCCTCGGTCCCGCTAGGGTGCCACTAATGGCCTCTTCTGACTCTAGAAGGAAAGGGGAGTCCCCCACCTCATTTCCGGGACCCTTGTATCCCCACAAGCGAAGGCAGGGGGTAAGGGTGCCAGGCACAGAGACCTCGTCGTAGTGGACCCCAGAAGGGCCCCGGGCCCTGGGGCCACCCCAGCCAACTCAACTTTTTCTGCCACTGCCCTCTCCAGCTTCCTGTTTGGGTCACTCCTCTTTTCTCTCCACCTCCCTCCATCTCACCTCTACCAGGGGTGCCCCAGCCCCCATCCCTGCACTGCTGAGATGGGACCATCGTGGTCAGGAGGCCTCGGAGCTGCACCCACAGGGCTGAGCTGGGGCTGCTGTTGCCAGCCGGGGCCTCTGGCTCAGCCCCTCTCCCTGGGCTTGGGCCAACAGAGCCTGGATAGGAAGGGCTGCTGCTTCAGGGCCAAGGACGAAGGTTCAGGGTCTCCCAGGACTGGCCTGTCCCTCCCTAGGTCCCCGAGTACAGTGTGGGAAGCTGAGCACAGGACAGGATGGAGCTGTGGGTGGGAGGGTACGTCGAGGGCTCTGACTCCCCCCAGGCCTCTGTGACAGTTGCTTTGCACATGAGGAGGGTCAACTCCCGGCTCCCGGGGCCCACTAAGGCAACCCAGACGCTGCCCCCTGCCTGGGCTACGGCCAGCCCAGGGGCGCCTATAGGCACTGGCTCCTCAGCCAAGCTGGGGGAGTAAGCGGGGTTCCTGCAGTCTCGCAGAGCAGCCCCCCAGTTGCCACTCTCACTGAGCACATCGGGGGAAAGGGGCTTTCCATGCTCAGCTTCTCACAACACCGCGCTATTTCCAGTGTGGGCGTGGTTCAACCAGAAAAGTGCTGGAATTCTTATTCCCCTCAGTAGGAACACGGGGAAGGGGGCCACTGACAGCTGAAACCACCGGGCCGGGGTGAGCTGTGTTTGGCTGTGTCATGCTGTGCTTTGCTTCCTTTCTGCTTTCTAAAGTGATGGCTCTGCCCGATTTCCATAGGGACCCTCCCGAACACCGCCGAATTTGCCGGCCTTTACTGAAGCACCAACAACATGGATGGGCCCAAAGCTGCCACTACCCGGTGGCCATCCCTGGCAGGGGCTCTGATTCCTCCCTGGGTCCCCAGCACTCTGCAGTGGGCTCGGCACAAGTCCAGTTTAAGAACACCTCGGGTGCCTTCTCTTGGACCGTGGGGCCTCGGGTCCACGGTACCACATCTAAGGGATGGTTCTGGAGGGGAGCGACGCTGTCTTCTTGTGTCAGGGCGAGGCAAAACCACTACCTCTGGGAAAGGCGCATTTGGGGAATAGAGCTAGATTTGGGATCCCGTTTGGTGAAGACGGAGTTTGGTCTACACAAGCTGATCTCGAGCCTTCTCCGTCATTAAACAACATACATGAAATGGGAAAGTTTGTAAGCCAGGAAGCTCAAACTCCTCCCCCAACAGCCTGTGCTTTATACTGAGAGCCCCTCCCCAGATCGAGGACGGAGCAAGGGCCCTACCCCTAGGGGAGCTGGAAGCAGGGGTGAGTCTCCAAGAGAGAGCCCGCTGCTCCCGGCCCCCTGCAGAGGATTCTGGTCCCCTCGGTGTTGCTGCCTGGTGCCGACAAGGGAGTGGCTGTAATGCTTCCTTCCAGCTCTGAGCCCTGTTGTGGGTTTGGGGCACTCTGGGAAGGGGCTGGTCAGGCTGAAGAGAGGGACGTTACCTGGATGCCAGATCTCCCAATAGGCTGTGCGGCCGGAGGCAGGACAGTGGCCCGGAGAGAGTTCGGAGGAAGAAAACAGAGACCACTCATTCACCCTTGCAGCCCGTCTGCTGGATAACCCCCCAGCCCCCATCATCCTCCCTCCCCCAAGTCTGAGGGAGCCCATTCAGGGGTGACATTAACCCTGAGTGGGACACTCTGAGATCTTGGTGTAGCCAATTCCCGCCCCCCTACCCCGCCCGCCCAAGGCCACGCTGCACCCATGAATTAGAGGCCCTTCTGGCACGGGGTATGGGGGGGTGCAGAGCAGGTAGACTAGAAGGCGCCCTGGGGTTCACGAGGGCCTCCAGAAAGAAGGTGAGGAAACTGGGTCGGTCAGACTCTGACTTCAGGCCTGATGTGTCTCCCGGGATGTCCAGGGTGTGCAGGCAGCGCTGTTCGGTGCCCAAGTCAAGTGGACTCGGTGTCCTGGGCTACTTGGATAGCAGGAGGGCGGAAGGGGCGAGGGAAGGCCTGAAAGTCTCCACGAGGGTGAGGGGGTGCCAGAATGAGAAAGAGAAGGAGCAGAGTCCTCGAGCCTGGGCACCCTCGAGAGAGCGACACCCCATCTGGTCCCCCGGGCATGGCCAGGATGACTCCTGAGTGCAGAGGCAGGAGAAGCCCCCGCAAGCACCGTCAGGTATGGCTTTCCTCCAGAATATAAAGCCCGTGTACCCCCAAGGAGGAAGCAGCTCACAGCTGTGGCAACCAGGCAGAGGGGCCGGCCAGGCGCCCCCACCCCCGGGGCCTGGGGGGAGACTCACCCGCCCCGGGACACCACCAGCTTCACTTTGACTTTGTAGGACACGATGATGCCCAGCACCTCCCGGTTGGCGCCTTCCCGCAGCCTGCAAGGGGCACAGAGACACTGTCCGTGGGTGCTCGAGGGAGCGGGCTGGGCTCCACCCACTACCCCAGGCTGCCCGCTCCCTCCCACTCCAGCACCCCCGGGGTCCAGAGGGGCTCAAGAGGGCAGGGCAGTCGGGGGTGGAGGGGCCAGGGAGGACCCTGCAGGGCCGGTGCCTCTGCTGGTCAGGACAGGGCAGGGTCTGAGCCTGATACCAAGAGGGGCATGATGGAATTGCGGGGCCCAGCGTTAGTGGAATAGGGGCACCCCAACCCAAGGCCAGGCTCAGAGGGTAGGATGAGAGGGTGACTCTCCCCACCCCCGTCTCCACTCCAGCAGGCGGTCTCAGTCAGAGATGAGTGAGGGGCAGGAGTGACCATTTGAACCACTGGCACTCGTACCCCGCCTATGAGGGGCACCCCCACCTCTGGGCCAGTCCAGCTCCTCTGGCCGTAATCCTCATCCACCCGCCCTCCTAACTCATCCTTTCCTGTTCAGTCCCCTCCAAGTACTCTTGTCATTCTGCAAGGACCCTGCTCTCTGACTGAAGACGCCCGGCCAGGAGCTGCTGCCTCTTACAGGAAGTCCCCCTAGGTTGCCCCACCCCCTGCAAGCTAGCAGAAGTCACACCCAGAGAGGGTGAGAGGAGAGACGCAGCTCCCCGAGGATGATGCATGGAGAGACGGTCACCCCAGCCTCAGTGGGTGCGGGTGGAGGCGAGGATGGTGCAGGGAGGGAGGGGAGTCAGGCAGGGAGCACCGGGGGCCAGTGGCAGGGCCCAGTGACAAGGACTACTGACAGGGACAGTGGCAGGGGCGGGGCCCTCACAAGGTGCTGGATGCCAGGTTCGTGTCCTCATGCTTGAGCTTCCCGTCCAGGGCGAGGCCGCGCTTCTCGCGGTTGTTGGCCAGGAAGGGGGTGAGTGTGTAGACCTTGCAGAACGTCGAGCTGGGGGCCACGGTGTCACTGGAAAGGAGGAGGCAGGCGTGTCCCCCTCACGCAGCCGCCCCTGCTCCATGCCGTCCCTACACCTTGGGCCAAGCTTGGCTGGCAGCTGCTGCCCCCCAAAAGGGTGCACAAGGCCCCAGGGCCCAGAGCTGAGCACTCCGCTCAGGCACGGCAACTGGGTCCGGCAGGACTGGAGCAACTAGGCAGAGGCTCTCTCTCCAGGCCCAAGCTCCCTGTGAGCACGTCTCTCGCCCGGGTCTCTGCATCTCTGCCTGATTTTCCACTCTGGAGGCCCTGTGTTCTGTGCTAAACAGGTACCTCCTGTCTGACTCTCCCCTCGCATCTTTCTAAATGAGTTTCATTCCATAAAAACTACCTTGCTGCAGAAGAGGGAGAGGAAGAGGGAGAGGGAGAGAGAGAGAGAGAGAGAGAGAGAGAGAGAGAGACAGAGACAGAGACAGAGACAGAGACAGAGACAGAGACAGAGACAGAGAGAGACAGAGAGGAGAGAGACAGAGAAGGAAAAGGAGAAGGAGGAAGAAGAAGAGAAGGAAGAGAAGAGGCATAAGAGGAGGAGAAGGAGGAAGACTCAACCGGGTGCCCCATATGGTCCCCTGAACACCACCCCGAGTGACTCCTGAGCACCACAAGACGCTGCCGACGCTCAAGGAACAGCTTCAGTGGAGAAACCTTGGGCTCTGCTTCTGTTGTTTCGTAACCACCCTCAGCGGTGCTCAGGGATCACTCCTGGCAATGCTCAGGAGACCAGAAGGGGTCAAACCTCGACCATCGAGTGCAAAGTATGTGCCCTCCCCACTGTACCAGAGAGTCTCCAGCCCACTAAAAATGATCTTAATGACCACAGAATAAGGCTGAAACAATGTGTGTGTGTGAGGGGGGGAGTCGGGGGGAGGAGGAGTTAGAACCTCTTCAGGGAGCACTCCCAGCAGGACTGAGCGGCTTTCCTGGCTTGAGATTCAGGTTTCCTGAGGCTGTGCTCCGGGGACGGAGCCTCAGGATCCACACCTCCCTCACTGTGAATTCAACCCCTGCTCCACACGCAATAAACCGTGACTGTGAGCTGTCAGCTGGAGACTGCCTGCTATTGCGGGTAGATAAACGCATGTGCGTGGAAAAGCACGTGCAGGTCACGTGCGGGTGGGTGTTCTGGCGGTGCCGGCCTGCCTTAGCCTGCTCTCTCCTCAAACACGGGCCGGGGCCAGGAGGTGGTGCGGGGGGACTCTTGTCTGGCCTCCCATACACCCATTTTGCCTAATGACTTTATCAGAAAAGGAGGCTGTGCCCCCCTCCCCCCCCCGAATGCCAGGAGGCTTGGAGCAAAGCAGCTTCCTCCAATGTGCCTCTCCTGCCCCATGTCCAGGGCTCCAGCACCCCCTACATGCCCAAACTCCTCAGTTTCCCAGGTGCAGGCTGGTCCGCATGGCTCCAGGCTTTGCCTTCTCTGGGCGCAAGGTCAGACCAAGGTGCTTTCTGCCAAGCTGTTTGGGGTCCCCTACTCTGAACACTGGGGAAGCCTGGGGCCACCCCAACTCCACCGGGTACCAAAGAATCCCTTGATCTGCACCCCGACCTCCCCCTGCCCAGCCCACTCACGTACTCAGCCTCCTCCAGGGCCACGGGGCACTTGTACTGGGCGGTGTTGAAGAGGCAGATGTCCGCGTGCTGGCGCACTGGGGAAGGAGCAGATGAGGGCTGTGAGCTGGGCGCCCCCAGGGTGGGTGGCGGGGGACCTCCAGTCTTGAGCTACCGGACACTGGTCCTGTCCGCACCCACAGGAGGAGAGTCCCCGACACCCACCCCCTTCCTAGGTCCCCAGATCCTCCCACCCTTCAGGGATGGCCTCGCTGGCCCCCAGGACCCCAAGAGATGACTAAACAAGGAATGTATGATATTCAAAATGAGCAAGGAACAATAAATGATTTAGCATCTGCCCCTGGCAGGCAGGCTTGAATGGTGGTGGGAAAATTAGAACAAAACATAAGGCCCCAAAGTAGAGAGAGAGTATTGGGGAAATTGCCTGCCGTGGAGGCAGGGTGAGGACTGGGATGGAGGGGGGGTATACTGGGGGTACTGGGGACACCGGTGGTGGCAAGTGTGCACTGGTGGAGGGATGGGTGTTCCATCATTGTATGGCTGAATCTTGAACATGAAAACTTTGTAACTATCTCACGGTGATTCAATTAAAAAAAAAAAAGTAATGTGAAGTTCATGCCCAATTCAATCAGCTTAATCACTGGCTGAATAAATAGCAGTACTCCTACATTAAAAAAAATAAATTTAAAAGATTTTTAAAATTTTAAAATTTTATTTATTTGCTTTTTGGGTCACACCCAGAGATGCTCAGGGGTTACTCCTGGCTCTGCACTCCGGAATTACTCCTGGCGGTGCTCAGGGGACCATATGGGATGCTGGGACTCGAACCTGGGTCAGCCGCGTGCAAGGCAAACACCCTACCCGCTGTACTATCACTCCAACCCCCCCAAATTTTTTAAAATAAAATAGGGAATATGCTTTTGTGGCCTAGAGGGGTGATGATGCCATCCTTAGAGCCTCCCCACACCTGTGCCCGCCCCCTGCCTGCCCACGGGTACCCGAGATCTTCATCTTCCTCACGGTCTTGTTGGTGTTGTTGGTGACGTGCACGTTGACACAGATGGGCTCCCCATGGTAGTAGATCTGGGGGGGGGGGGCGGAGAAGGGGGAAGCAGGTGGGGACTCCCGTGGCTGGAGAAGGGGCCGCTCAGCTGGACCCCACCCAGCAGGTCAGCCCTGAGTGGGGCTAGGCAAGAACTGAGTCACCAGAGATAGTAAAGTGCAACCCTGCACAAGTGGCCAGCCCCGGTTTCCCCCTCTGCTCCTGCTGCAGGTGCATGGTGGGTGCAGGGTGCCGCTCGGCTGCCTGGAGGCGGGTGTCTCTGGGAGAAGCAGAGTCAGGTGGGGAGGAGACAGGAAACGACTCTGAATCCTCACTAGGGACTTGATGCCTCGCCTTGTGACCCCAGCTCTGGCCCCCAGCTGCCCCCTTGAGTGAGGGGGTGCCCTTGATGAAGGGAGGTGTGCCTGAAGCAGCCCCCAATCACTCCTGGAGGCCCTGTGGGTCCTCCCAACCCCTCCCAAGGGAGGCTGCAAGGGGCGGGCAGGAGCTTCAGGGAGGGACCTGGTGGCCAGAGAAAGCTGGGATGGGGGTCACCACCCCGGCCCTGCATGCCCGCCCCTCCTACCTCCTTGTCCAGAGACGCCTCCAGGTGCAAGGGCTTGTCGGACATGAGGAACTGCCTGGTGGTCTCGGCCGTGGGCTGTGGTCCAGGCCTCTCGGGCGCATACTGAACCTTCCGGATGACCAGCCGCACCGAGTTCCTAGCGGGGAGGCGAGTGACAGGGTTGCGGTCAGCTCGGGCCTCCGTCCCCGCCAGTCCCACCCTCTCCCGCAAAGGCCCTGGGTGAAACTGAGCCCGGGAGCCCACCACCACCTCCCCCAGGGCCCCCACCCCCGCCCCCACCTCCACACTCTCCCCTAGGGGACCCCCGTCTCTGGAGCCTGCCCTGGGGCCCCGCCCCGGCCCCCCTCGCCCCTGCTGCCCCACTGGCTTCCTTCTCCAAGGCTCAGCTAAATAGCTGCTCTGGGGCTAGGGGAGATCGCTCAGGTGGGGGAGTGCATGCTAGCAGGAGTGAGGCCCTGGGGGTGCCCGCCCCGCCCCTGCCCCAGCGCTGGGTGTGACCTATAGGTGTCCCCAGCAACGCCGGGCACAGTCTACATAGAGCGCTCCACCCCGTGGCGGCACCGTGGTTCTGAGCCTCACTAGGGACTCGAGTCCCTGTGGGTGACACCCAGCAGCAGGGTGGTGACATGGGCACGGGCCTCCCTCCCTGCCCCCCTCCGCCCGGCCGGGCCCACGCCTGCTAGACAGAGCTGGTCTGTCCGTCTCCACTGTCCCTGCGGCCTCAGCAGTGACGGCAGCGTCTGCCCTCGAGGAGATGCGTATTTAGTATCTCTGAGGTTCCAGAAACGCAGGAAGGACAGGGGACCCACAAAGCGACGGGGGCTCGGAGAGGCGAGGGGGTCTGTGGGGGGGAGGATGCTGTGCAGGCCAGTGAAGAGCAGAGAGACCCAGTCAGAGGATAGAAGGCTGGAGAGGACAGAGGAACCAGAGGGAGGTGGCAGGACCTCGGGCCGAGAAGGGGCTGACGGGAGCTGGCGTGGGCATGGGGGCTTCGGCGGGGGGGCGGCACCCCCGCTTCCCAGACCAGCCCCCTCCTCCCTGGGACCAGAGCACCGGGCTGAGGGTCTACTCCCCGCTTACTATCTGCCTCGGCTACATTCACTGCTGTGCCTCAGTTTCCACCTCTGAAAAACGGGTGACAATAGCAGAACCTACCTTTCAGGCTTGCTGTAAGGGTTAAATAAGCTCACACATGTCCAGCACTTCGAACAGTGTCTGTCACCCAATAAGCCCCTGACAAATGATAGTGGCCGTGTCATTATTAGTGGCAACCATGTGTCGACTCAAAAATGTCCCGTTGGTGGTGGGATAAGGGTGGGTGGGGGCTGGCCCCGGTGTCGCCTCCTCGTTCTTCCTCAGGCCTGGCCCCCTCCCACAACCCTCTTCCTACCCCAGGTCTCCTGTCTTTGGAGAGGAAGGAACGGCCGGGAGGGAGCCCCGTGGACAAGAGGCAGGCTCTGCATGCAGGGGCCTGGGCTGGATCCCTGGCACCGGAGTTACCCTTGAAAAATGCACCAGGAGTAGCCCCGTAGCGCGTCCCCACGCGATCCCCCCAACGAGGGAGAAAAGGCAGCTGGGGAAGCCGGCAGAGGGTCCCCTGGCCCCAGAGAGGAGGGGCCAATGGGTGCAGATGCCTGCAGTACACATTGTGGCCACCAGGTGGCGCCCTCCGGCCAGCCCGACAGGGGCCCTGGGTCACTCAGCAGGTGGGCGTGGGAGTCCCGGCTGAGGCCAGGAGGGACGAGGGCACGAGAGCGGAGCTGGCAGCAGCGTCTAAAGGCCAGCCTGGGCTTTCCACCTGCCCAGACCCATGCTTCCAAACGCCCCCGTCCTGGGCTGACCCCCTCGTGTCTCTGGTGGGGTCCTTCCTCCACTTCCGACCCTTCCTCAGCTTCCAGGGACCCCACTACACCCCCTGCTCCCGGCGCTCCTGCTGTGGGTCTCCCAAGAGAACTGCACATTGGGGGTCTGTCGGGACACGTCTTGGTCCCTGTTTCAAATCATCTGAACTTGGGGGATTGCCCCCCCTCCACCCAAACAAGACGCGCAGGCTAGAGGGGATGAGACTGAGACAGGGAGACGGTGGAAGTGAGTTCAGAGGTGAGAGGGGAAAATGCAGAGGCCTGAGCCAAGGCAAAGGAGCCACCGCCCCTGGGAAGCCCTCCGTGACCTGCCAGCTATCCGCGCACAGTGCCCTACTCCGAGCTCCCGCCACCGGAATGGGTGACCCTCCTTACATACTTCCAGGCATTGTTACTTATCTCTTCTCGGGGCTCGGCCCGTCCTGTCTCCCTCCCTCTGCCGCCAGGCAGCCCTCACCACCCGGGGCGTGGAGCCCCTCACCGCTTGTGGATCTTCTCGTCCAGGTTCTCCGCGCAGAAAGCTTTGACTTCATAGTCCACGCCACAGGCCTGTGGGACAGCAGAGCCCAGCCTCGGCTCCAACCCCAGGAGCAGGGATAGCCCCAGCCTGCTCCCTGCAATGTTCCGGCACCCCTTGCTAACGGCATGGCTGAAGGGGGGGCTGGCATGGGGCAGCAACAACCAGGCAAGCCTCGGTTTCCCCCAGGGAATGCGACGAGACACGGGGGTCCCACTGCAGCCAGCCCCGACCCCAGTGGAGTGACAGGCTAGGGTGATCCAAAGCGGGAGGGGCCTGGCCCAGACTCAGACACCTGGCAGGGACCACCCAGCCCAGAGCCAGGGCCGCCTCCTGGCAGGGGGGACTCACCTTTCCTGTGTCCTCGGGTCCTGGCTGCAGTGTCACGGAGCAGGGCAGGTTTGGGGGGATCTGTTGGCAGGACAGACGGCCCTGGTCACCTTCACCACTTGGTGCCCTGGTCTCCGCGTCATCACTCAGGGGCCACAGCTCTACCATCAGACCAGGACAGGCCCCATCTCCCCCATCAGACTGTGTTTCCCAGAGGCCACTCAGGGAAAACTGATGCCTTGGGGTTTTTCTCTGGCTGGAGGGGCAAGGCCTTCTCTGCTGCCTCCTGGGACATGGGCAGGGCTGTGGGGACACAGCTCCTTCTCCAACAGATGTGACTGTCAGGCTCCCACCAAAGCAGGAAACAGAGATACACACATGTGGTGGGGCGCAGGTGTGATGGGCAGGTGGGACGGGCAGGAGGGCTAGACAGGTGTGATGGGCAGGTGGGGTGGACCGGTGTGATGGAAAGGTCAGATGAGGGGGCTGGAGCGATAGTACAGCGGGCAGGGCATTTGCCTTGCACACAGCCGACCCGATTCGATTCCCAGCATCCCATATGGTCCCCTGAGCACTACCAGGAGTAATTCCTGAGTGCAGAGCCAGGAATAACCCCCGAGATTCACCGGGTGTGACCCATAAAGCAAAAAAAAAAAAAAAAAGGTCAGATGGACAGGTGGGACAAACAGGTGTGATTGGGGTGGGCAGGGGGATGGGCAGGGGGAACTATAGGACCATATGGGCCAAGCAGACCCTCCATCTCATAGGCTGCATGGACAGGTCAGTGATGTGGCCTGAAGGGCATCTGCGGGGCACCTGGGCTGACCGAGGGCTCCTCCTCTCTCTGAACCCATGCGCCTCCCTTACCCCTGCTGACCTAGCCTCACGAGGGCCTGAGAACTAGCTCACACACAGGGGACCCTGGCGATGGCCAGAGAAGAGCCCCCCTGGCCACCTGACAGAGCCCCAGTTCCCCAGGAACACCAGGAAACCCCATGCAACTGCTGCCACCCCTGTGCTCCCCAGCGGGCTTCCTGGAGGTGGTGCCTCTGGGAGGGGCCGGCTGACCTCGAAGGTGAAGGGGTAGGCGTGCTCGCCCAGCTTCTTGATGAGGCGCTCCTGCAGCCGCGTCAGGGGCTTCCTGTCCTCGGGGGCCGGTGGAAAGGACTGCACGTTGGCCACAAACAGGTCCTTGCGGAAGGTCAGGCCCAGGACATCCAGGTCCTCCCGGCCATAGCGGAAGGCACAGGTCAGCGTCACGTAGACTGTGGGGGAGGGGCACTGAGAAGCAGCCGGGGGCAGCGAGCCACCCCCAGGGTGCCCGGCCAGCATCTGACCCTGAGCTCAGGTTGAGCTGCAGCTCCACACCTGGGCAGCCCCCCAGGGTCGAGGGGTGGGGAGAGCTGGGGGATCACTGCGGGTGGGGGCAGAAGGCTGGGGGTCCCGGTCCCCAGACACACTGACAAGAGAGTGCTCTGGGTAGTGCAAAGGCCTCCTGAACGCTGGGGTGAGGGGAGAGGGTCGCGAGGGGACAGACGACCATCCCATCGATCGGACACTTCATTGCTGGTGCAGATGCGGTGACTGGACACCAGAACCACAGCACTGGGCCGGAGCCGCAGCGCAGCAAGCGGGAGGGGCCCCCCTTCATCACGGCACCCCACATGGCCCCCGAGCCCCACAGGGAGTGAGCCCTGAGCCCCACCAGGTGGGGCCCAACCAGAGACCCCGAAACGTTAACGCTGTTGTCCGGCTGCCTTGAGGCGTAAGGTCCAGAGCCCGAGGGAGGCTGGCGGCCCGGGCGGAGGCCACTGTGGTTCTGCTCCGGTTGCTGTGGAGGGAGTAGCGACCGCGGGTGCAGGAAGGGGTGGGGGACTGCTCGGGGGAGGCAGCCGGGAGAGGGGGGCCCCTGGGCAGGCTGGAGTGGGGGTACTCACCTCTCCTCTCCTTGAGGTACTCGGGATCCACCAGCACCACCCCATCTGGAGAAGACAACGAGCAGGTAGCCCCCACCCCCGCCTCGCCCAGCCCCCACCCAGCAGCTGTTTGGGTGAGAGCACCATAAGAGAGGCAGGGAGCACCATGAGAGGTGGGGAGCACTATAAGGGAAGTGGGGAGCACCATGGGGGGGAGCATCATGAGGGAAGTGGGGAGCACCATGAGAGGTGGGAAGAGAGCACTATAAGGGAAGTGGGGAGTATCATGAGAGTTGGGGAAACATCATGAGCGAGGTGGGGAGCACCATGAGAGGTGGGGAGCACCATGAGAGGTGGGGAGCACCATAGGGAGGTGGGGAGCGTCAGGGGAGAGGTGGGGCGCATTATGCAAGGCAGGGAGCACCGTGAGGGAGATGGGATGCCCAGCTCCAACACCCCCACAGGCCTGCTGGGGCCTCAGGCAGCTGCTTCAGGCCTCTCAGCCCTGGGTAAGAGCAGGAAGATGGGCCCAAACCCCACGGGGTCACGGGTATCACTTCCTGGCACTCTCTGGCACCCTGCACTGGGCTGGGGCGGGCAGAAGCTCTGATCAGATCTAACAGTGCCCGTGGGAAGTGGGAAGGCCCAGAGGCCAGGGAGGCGTCAGGTCACGGCTCCACCAGAGGAACTGCGCCTGCAAGCTCAAGGCTGTGCGAGGATCAGAGCCTTGGGGTCTCGGGCTCTGCAGATCAAGGAATGGGTGAAGTCTCGGGGCTCCGGGGCAGCTGCCACACTCCACTCCCCTGCTTCTCCTCTGTTCCTCTTCCCTCCCCCCCCACTCTCCCTCTCTGTCAGCGTCTCTCCCGCCAGTGTCTGTCAGTGTCTCCCTGTGTCTCCATCTCTGGCCCACCCCCTGATGCCACCCCAGAGCTGGTGGGGTACAGGACACCCGCCTGCTCAGCAAGGCCCCTCCTGTGGCTGAGGAGCTTCCTCTGTGCCAGGCCGCACTCCCCCGGGGGGCCCCCGCAGCCCAGGGGCCTGAGTCTGAGGCAGGGCTCGGAGCCAAGCTCACAGGCCAGGAAGGGCCATCAGTGAGGTGCCGGGAGCCAGCACAACAGCCCTAGAGGACTGCTGCAGGAGCACTGCGGGACCCCCAACTGAGGGGCTCTGCAGGGGACTGCGGGAGGCAGTGAGGCAGGCCATCAGGAAGAATCCACACCACGGCTCAACAGGCAAGTCTAGACAGGGCCCCCACGACCCAGCACAAGGCCCGGTTGGAAGCAGGTGCGCTGTGAACACTTACTGAACAGCGTGTGTGTGTGTGTGCGTGTGTGCGTGCGCGTGTGCAAGTGTGCGCACCCATAAAGATGTAGTGAGTGGCTGTGTGTTCCTGCATGAATAAGGGCACGTGTGTGCATCACATGAGGACATCTGCATACATGGGACATGTGGGTACGTGTCCATGGGTGTGTATGTGTGCCTGTGTGTGTATGCATGGGAAGTGTGTACATGGGTATGGGTGTGTATGTGTGCATCTGCATATGTGTGTGTGTGTGGTCTGTGTGGGGTGAGTATGTGTGTGTGCATGTGTGTGTGTATGTAGTCTGTGTGGGGTGAGCATGTGCGTGTGCATGTGTGTGTGTGTGTGTAGTCTGTGTGGGGTGAGTATGTGTGTGTGCATGTGTGCTTGTGGTCTCTGTGGGGTGAGCATGTGTGTGTGCATATGTGTATGCATGTGTGGTCTGTGTGGGGTGAGCATGTGTGTGTGCATATGTGTATGCGTGGTCTGTGTGGAGTGAGCATGTGTGTGTGCATATGTGTATGCGTGGTCTGTGTGGGGTGAGCTGTGTGTGCATGTGTGTGTGTGTGTGGTCTGTGTGGGGTGAGCATGTGTGTGCGTGTGTGCGTGTGGTCTCTGTGGGGTGAGCATGTGTGTGCGTGTGTGCGTGTGGTCTCTGTGGGGTGAGCATGTGTGTGTGCATGTGTGTATGCGTGTGTGGTCCGTCTGTGTAGTGAGCCTGTGTGTGTACATGTGTGCATCTGCGTCCACTCAGGCGCTAACTCTTGTGCCTCTCCCGGCTCAGCCCCCATCCTCAGCGGGCCGGCACAGGTGGCAGCAGGGACAGCTAGCCACTCCTCGCTCTCCAGGCCCAGATACAGAGGCGTGTGGGTAGAAGAGGAGACACTTGGCCTCGGGACACCAGAGTCCCGGGCTGGAGCGGCTTCACCAGCTGCAGCCCACAGCTCCACCATAGCCCGGCCTCCTGCACAGGCAGCATCCAGGCTGTGGTGGCCTGCAGCCTGCCCCAGCTGGGGACAGAGACCTGTCCTCTGGGAGCGTCCCCCGGCAGAAGGCTCAGCTTCTCTGCCTGGACTCAGGCCTCACTCCCTTTCTGGCACCATCATCAGAGCCTGTCACCAGGTCTGGACCCGCTGTGGGTCTGTTTGTGCCCTTCTCAAATGCCCTCTAACCCCCTAGACTCAACGTTCCCTGTTCCACGGGGGCCCTGTGGCTGCCCTCTCACCAGGAGCCACATTCTCCTGCTCCCCCTCAAGGCGCCAGGCTCCCTACCATGGGGCAGTGTAACCACGTCCTGGGGGCTTCTGACCGGACCTCCCCAGGCGGGGTCCCTCTGGTTCCTAAGACACTAAAGGCCCAGGGAAACCCTGACCACTGCCTTAATGACTCAGAGAAATGACACAGAGGGGCATCGCCCTGAATCAGGGGTTTGAGCAGAATCGAGCTTCCCGTCAGAGAAGCATCTCTGGACGGCAGCACGAACATCTCCTTTCAGAGCATCTGGTCCAAGCTACATGTGTCCCCATCTCATCACCGTGTCAGTCCCCTCTGTTTCCCAGGGCTCCCAAGCCCCGTCCCTGGCCTTACTGAAGGCTACAGACCCTCACTGTAACCCACTGGCTCTAGAATCCACACCCATGAAGACTTTCCAAACAAGATTCCATTTTCCTCCTACTCATCTGATGTTTGAGTAACGCCTTGAGCAGTCTGAGAAGAATCCGGAGGACAGGAGGAATTTTCCCCTCTAGCCCCACATCCTACTGGTGTGCAGCAGAGGGCCAGCTGCTGTCTAACAGGAGCACAAAACCCCCTAAAGAGCGGGAAGGGGAGAGTCCTGCCCCCAGGTTATTCCACAAGGCCCTACAAGCTGCTGAGCAGGTTCAGCCATGGCCCAGCTCGGGGGAGACGTGGGCTGGGTGAGAACAGCCTCCCCGTCTCAGCCCCGGGGTCTCCATGTCCTTCCCTTGGCCATCGGGGTCAGTGGATTTAGATCTGAAGCTGTGCGGTGACCTGGAACCAGTCGCCTGGCCTTTCTGGCCCTACTCCCCTCTGCCCAGTGGGGACCGGCACAGGAGTGACCCACAGCGTCTGCTCCACGACCAACAAGCCTTAGGCGAAGTCTCGCTTATTCTTCCTCCTAAACTTCTTGTCACCCCAGTCCTTGGCCGCAACTTCTGGTTCAAAGGTCAAAGGTCAAAAGCTCACTCTGGGAGAGCTGTGGGGGCATCCTGGGTACCCCACCACTCTGCCTCCCTCCTCCCAGGCCTGCAGGGACTCACCCACAGGGTCCACGAGGTCAATGTGGTCCACAAAGTCCCTCTTGCCCAGGTAGACGGTGAGCTGCAGAGGAAGGGGGGGGGGGGGCGAAATGAGCTGTGGCATGCGTTCCTGCCCTGAAGGCATCCCTCGTCTTCCATGAAAGAGACTGTTACTGTTCCCATGTCACAGATGGGAGCACCGCAGGCCCAGAGAGTGCTCCCCAACCAGACAACCCCCGGGGAGGAGTCACCTGAGCAGGGATGCCCCCCGCCCCGTGGTCAGGCAGGGCCATGCTCACCTCAGGAAGTGGGAGGCCGCATCAGGGTCAGACCATCATCCTACTAGTCCCCGCCTGCCGCATCCCTAAATCCTGATGCTAACACCCTTACTGTTTCTCACTCCACCCCCCCACCCCACTCCATAGACGCTCCCCCCTGCTCTGCAGCCACAGACAGACAGACAGACAGACACACACACACACACACACCCCACAGGGTTCCCCCGCACCAACTCCTCGCCCTCAAACGCACGCTCTGCTCTGAAAACCCTTCCATGGCTCCTCTGGGCCCAGAGGGACAATGACAAATGGGTTTCACTGCGAAGGCTGATCGTGACCAACTGCGGGGGCCGCGTGGGGCCCCAGGGGAGGAGGAAGCCGGGACGGATCCAGCCCAGCTTCGCAGGGGAGGGGGAGGGGCCGTGGGCAGTGGGGGCACAGGAGCCATGGATGCCCTCTGCCAGCCCAGACTCCTGACCACCTCTAGACGCCCAGGCCCAGCTCCGCTCCTGCTGCCTCTGTCCCAACTCACAGATGTGAGTGCAGTGGCCAATGTCCACTCCCGAGACCAGATGTCACTGCCCAGTCACCCTGACCCCCAGAATGCAGCCCTCATGGAGAGCGGCTGTCCCAGGACTGGGCACCACTTAATCTCACACTGGCCCCTTAATTTTACTGTTAATCTTTGGGGTTTGGGGCCACACCCTGAGGGGCTCGGGGATTACTGACTCCTGGCTCTGCTCAGGTGAAACCCTGAAATGCCCCATCTTCTCACCGGCTGCCTCACACAACTCTGAGCAGTGCGGCTGGCCAGGCCTGATTAACCTCCACATGGTGTACCCGGGAATGGTGTTGGGGTAGCTGCTGGCGGAGCTGAGGATGGAGCGAGGGGTCTGCAAAGGGGAAATGTGGGACAGGCACGGGGCGGATGGGGCAGGGTGCGGGGTGGGGGGTCCAGTTCCTCCTCCCACACCTGTGCATGAGGAACCAAGTGCCCTGAGGCCCGGGGCCTTGTCTGATGACTGTTCTCAAATGGATGTTTCTCTGCAGAGGGCTCCCCATACTAGAGCAGGGGGTCCTTCAGTCCCAGGGGAGCTGCACTCCCTCTCCTCCCGCCCCCTGCGACAGAACACACCCTCCTGTGCTCGAAGCCCCGAGCTCAGAGCCGGGTCTCCCCTGGGACAGGGCTGGGGGCCTGCATGGGCAACAGAGGGGCCCGAGAGAGCAGGGGCTGGGGGCTGGGGGGAGGGGAGCAGCTGTCACGACTCACCTTTCCATTGGGGCTGGCCTTCTTGAACACCCTGTGGAGAGGAAGAGGGGTGTGGTCAGCATGGCTGCCTGGGGGTCTCCCGCAGGCCCTCCCTCCGCAGGGACCAGCCACGGGCCAAGAGGACCCATCCAAGCCCCCCACCTGCCTGCCAGCCCGCACCAGCCTCCCAGCCCACGCACACTCAGGCTCCTCCCGTCCCGGTCCTGATGCAGCAGACCAGGAAGTGAACTAGCTAATCCAACCAAGACGTCCAGACGGCAGGACAGCCCAGACCTCACTCACACGCACGTGGCCGTGGCCAGGGAAGCAGAGAGGACAGGTCGCCAGAAGCCCCATGTCAGGTCCAGCAAAGGGACAGAGGTGACAGGGCTCCAGATGAAGTGCCCAGAGTAGGAATAGGGACCCCAGGTACTGAACGGCGCAGGGACGAGACCAAGTTGGCGGACACCGGAGACAGGAAGGCGGCAGCGAGGGCCTAGGTGAGTGAGGCCATAACAAGGGACCCAGCCCCTCTGTGTGAACTCAACCAGCAGCTTTAACGTCTGATTTTTTGTTGTTTTTTTTTTTATTTTGTTTTGTTTTGTTTTTGTTTTTCGGGTCACACCCGGCTATGCACAGGGATTACTCCTGGCTCTGCTCTCAGGAATTACTCCTGGCAGTGCTTGGGGGACCAGATGGGATGCTGGGAATCGAACCCGGGTCAGCTGCATGCAAGGCAAACTCCCTACCCGCTGTGCTATCTCTCCAGCCCCTTAACTTCTGAGTTTTATATGCAAACCCTTCCTACGATTTTGCAAGAGCCCACAAATAAATCTACTTTCAACAATCCTCCCTTCCTCATCCTCCCCATCCTCATCCTCTCCACCCCCTCCCCATTCTCCCCATCTTCACCCTCCCCATCCGCTTCCTCCCCATCCCCATCCCTCTCCTCCCACCTTCTCCCTCCCCAACCCCGTCCCCATCCTCCCTATCCTGCCCTGCTCAGCGTCACCCCTCCCTGAGCCACCGTCACTGTGCTCTTGTTGGGTGAAACACCCCGGGCTGGGCACAGCCCCCAGGTCAGTCTCCCCAACACGTGGGGCTCTCTGCACTGTAGGGGTCGGGGGACCCAGCAGTCAGAGTGGAGAAACGTGGCCCTGAAGAAAGGAATTCACAGCTGGCCCGAGAACCCGCCGACCTAAGTAGAACCATCACAGCATCCTCCCGTCCCACTGACCGGCTGCCTTAACCCCCATGACACCTGCTCACCCACCCTCGAGTTCCGTGCTGTAAAAGGGGGAGTGTCTGCTGTTCTCTGGAGGAACCCCGGTACCCCTAGGCTACGGACGCCTTCCTACCCTTTCCCTCTTCTCCATCCTTCCCAGAAAAACCTCTGCCGAGTTCCACCAAGGAGCCCTGCCCAGCACTGGCTGCGTAAGGACAAGAACCTGAGAGCTGTGCGGCAAATCATGGGGTAAAATGATTCCCTCGTGGGGTCCGAGCTAAGTCTCCCTGCAGCGGCCCGTCAGGCTGCTAGCACACGGCCCCCATCTGCATTTTCATCTTATCCCATGAAGGAGTGTGAATCAGGCCACTGATCATGCAAGGCCCTGCCTGCGTGCGTGCAGGTGACGCTCTGTGGCCGTCCTCCCTGCCCTCACTTCCGGGGCTCGGCGCCCCCTCCCCCATCCTCTCCACGGCACCTCCCACGACTCTCCCCACTCTCCGCTGGTCGGCCGCCCGCATCCTCCATCATATTCCCAGGCTGCTCACGTCCCTCCCCACAGCCGCGTCACCACAGTGTCACCAAACACAGGGCACATTCAACACTCATCCATGTCTCCTCAGATAATGCAGGGGGGGAGGGTTGGAGGGTTGGAGGGAGGGGTGCTGTTCCCCCCCTGTCTGCTCAAGTGCCCAGAAAGAAGCACCTTGCCCAGCATGGCATAACTGACACAAGGGGCATCGACCAAGTACTGGTGCAAGGGCCAAAGGGATGCTTTAGGGGAGGGACACACACCCCAGCCCACCCCCACCCCGCCACTCAGCAGGGCAGCACAGAGTCTGCGAGATCTGGGCTAAATCGCCCTCCGAGGGCTCACACCTTCTAGAACATTCGAGCACTTTCCCCAGCCTGCTGGGAGCCTGTAGGACCTGCCTTCCCAGGAGCTCAGAGAGGCTCTGGGATGCTAAAAGCCCTGCAATCAGAGAAGATGTGGAGCGGAGCGGGGCCAGGGCTGCAGGCTCTGCAGGTGTGACCAGGAAGGCGAGAAGAACAAATGACAGCACAGGATAAAGGCACAAGGTGGAGACAGAGCCACAACGCAGGCCTGGCTGCCAGGGAGGGGTGGGGGATGGGGAGGGGGGCCTGCAGCCCCTGGAACCACTGGAAGCATCTGTGTGAGGAAGGGGGTTGGGGGCGCCCCTCCAGGAAAGATGCGCATCCCCCACCTGACTCCTGGGCTCTGCTTGTAGGAAGCTGCCACTGAGGAGCTTTGATTGCGGAGATAGGCTTGGCACCTCCCTCCCCCGCCTCCCCTAGGGAGGCTCCGGGCCTTTTTCCTACCTCATAAATATTTATCTGTGTTTGGGGTGTGAAGATGTCACAGTCGGCTGGGGTGTAATAATCACCAAGGAGGAAAAAATACAGCTCACATGGTTCCAACCATGGCTGCTGAACCTGCAGAGACGGCTCAGCCTCCAGGACCCCTCCTGTCCCCAGAAGCTCCAACCAGCCCACCCACCCCCTCAGAGCCCAGGGCCAAGCACCAAGCCTGAGACCACAAACCCTGGGGTCAGGAGCAGCCATTCCCAGGAGCCCTGAGAGGGATGAGGGGCTCCAGGCTGTGGAGTGAGCACAGGGAGGGAGGGAGGGGCGGGAGGGGAGGCAGAGCAGGTCGGGCGCTTGCCTTGCACGAAGCTGGCCTGGGTCCAATCCCCAGCACCATAGAAGGTTCCTCCAGCCCCCCAGGATCGATCCCTGAGCACTGCTGGGTGTGGCCCCGAAACAAGACAGGGAGGGCAGGGGAAGAAGGGAGGGAGGAGTAATTACCCACGTCTCTTAGGAGCACTGGGAAATGGGTGCTCAGACTCCGACTTTAGAGATAATGCGCTCCAGGTTCAGTGATTTGTCCCAGCACACCCAGAACTCAGGACTCAGACCTAATTCCTCTGCCACTGGGTCCCTGCGAGCCACCCCTGCTGGCTTCCTAAGGCAGGTGTTTCTGTCAACATCAGGAACAGATACGAGGGTAGCTGGGGGCAGGGTAGGGTGGGGAGGGGGCTAGTGGTGGTAGTGGGGAGAACCGAACCGGGGATAAGGGACTAGGGGAGTGAGTGAGGGGAGAGGCAGGAAGCCTGGCCACTGGAGGGGAATGTCCTGTGGCTGATTCCCAATGGCCACCTCCTTCCGGAAGCTGGGACACAGCCTACTGCGGGCTGGTCCGCTTCTCGGTCTTTCGGGCTGGCATGCGGCTCCCGCTCCAGTCTCCTTCCTCCATCAACAGCCGCTGCCCCAGCCTGCGACTGTGCCAGGCCCTGGCCCCAGCTCCAGGCATTTCCCCCACAGTCCCACTGTGTCCCCCCCCAACAAACCCATTTCACATTCAGCAAACTGAGGCTCAGAGAAGAAAAGTGGCAGCCAATCTCTGGAGCTCACACCCTCTACACAAACAACCAAGCCTTTCTCCCCCAAGTCACCCCCTGCATCCTGCCCCTGACACGGCCAGAAAGGCCCCAGCCCACCCTCACCCCTGCAGCACTGGGCGGCAGGCGCCTTCCAGGAGGGAGCAAGTTCAAAGCCCAGCGCTGGACTGCGGGATGCACGTGGGATTCGAGGGACCTCTTGGGTCCCTCCCCAACGGCCAGCTCTGCACCACAAGCCTGACGTCCAGGGATAGCGGGTCCCTAAGAAAAGCATCCTTGGCGCTCCAGCTGATGAGACCAGGGACAGAGAGCGGGGAGCTGGGAGAAGGAGGGGGGCCCGATAAGCAGGATCCTCACGGGAAGGATGCGCAGGCAGGACGCAGGGGGCCCGGGCCCGGGCCAGCCATGGGCTCTCAGGTGGGCTCCGGGGCGGGATGCTCTGGCGCTGCCGCTGCCTGGTCTGGGGCACCCCCCCTGCCTACTGTGGGCTGGTCCGCTTCTCGCTTCTCGGTCTTTCGGGCTGGCATGTGGCTCCCGCTCCAGTCTCCAGCCTCTCCTTTGCCTCGGCTCAGCTTCCCAACGAGATGCTCGCTAAAGGGCCCAATTCCAAATTCCCAAGAGAGAACGTTGATTGGTCAGCTTCATCAGGTGCCCCGCGCCTGGGCCAATGGGCGACGCCGAGGGCGTGTCCGAGACCCCAGGCCTGTCCACGGGTGCTCCTCAAACTGGAGGCCGTGACCTCGACGTTGCTACAGAAATTCGTTTTTAAAAGTTGCCACGGGCGTTTTGTTGCTCTTCAGCGGAACAGGAGATATTAGCAAGAGGTGCAGATTGCAAGACGGGATCATCTAATTTACTACCGATATTTCATTCCCTCTGTGGCTGGGCATCTGGGTGAACTGGAGTTCTCGGCTTTATGAGGCTAGATGTGCCAGTGGCTTCCTCTGGTCAAGAAGCTAGGAATAAACAAGCATAAACAAGGACTAGTGTGATTCCCCACCCCCTTAGTATTAATTATCCATGAAGGAATTAGTTACTTTGATAAGTGATAAATGTATTATTATCTTACAGTTCTGTAGCTAAAAGTTAGAAATGTAACTCACTGGGTTAAGAAATCAACATGTTGAGGGCTGGAGCAATAGCCCAGCAGGTAGGGCGTTTGCCTTGCATGTGGCCAACCCGGCTTCCATTCCCAGAATTCCATATGGTCCCCTGAGCATCACCAGGGGTGATTCCTAAGTGCAGAGCCAGGAGGAACCCCTGTGCATTGCCGGGTGTGACCCAAAAAGAAAAAAAAAAAAAAGAAAGCAACATATTGACCCAAATGTCCAATGACAGATGGATGGATAAAGAGGTTGAGGTATGTAGACACAATGAAATAGACACAGTGGGATACTATTTTAATAG